CGATAAAGCGCTAACAGCTCTATGGTTATTAACTCAAGGCTAGTTAGGTCCTTATAAACCTTACAAAAGGTAAAATAACAAGCTAGACTTTTTTTTTTTGGCTTTGAACTTCTGGCAGGGGACTGTTCTTAAAATGCCTGGGACAAACTTTGGTTTAATGAATTTAATGAAACAAATTAATTTTCGGTACTTTTTATTGAAGAAGATTGTTAGTTAACTAATTAAGTTTATAAACATTATGGACCAAATTATATATTATGGACGAATAACTTAAAATTTAATCTTAAAGTTTTAATTTTGGGAATGGGACAGCCCAGGGGACTGTTATTTCGGTGGTTTATCAATTTATAGCAAAAAAACCAAAATTTATTTCATTTTAGTTTTCAATGCTCCTAATAGAAATGTTTTTTTACTTTTAGAACAATTTTTTTAATAAAAAAATGCCTGGGACAGCAAAAAACATCCTTACAGAGAATCACCCATATAGTAAAGATATTCAAATTATTTAATTATATTAAACTAGGCCTAAATTATTTGTCTATTATAAAATTTAACTTAAAAAAATAATTCTTTTAAAAAACTAGGTAATATTGTTTTATAAATTTTCGATACTTATTGTTGACTTGAATTGTAATATATATTCGCTTTTTAGTATACAGACAATTATCGATAGCATACATGTTAGCCTTGGAAGGCGTAATCAAACATTGCACAATATTTATATAACAGTTTTGTTATAAGTTTAACTTACTACCAGTTTTCTTTTTGAGGAAAGTAACATTAAGTCGAGAACTTTGTTTGAAGTTACAACTCACTAGCAAGTAATCATTCCATCAACGAGAAAAATGTTGAAATTCATATTACTTATTTTATTAATCGCTCTTGTGGCTATAGGAATGGCTCAAGACGGCTGCATGGAGGAAGGCAATGGTGTAAGTTAAACACTATTTTTATTGAATGAAAAAGTAAGCAGAATTATTATATTTTAGAATTATTTATATTTTTTTTATTAATTTTAGTGTAAGCCCTCCATGGATTACAACTGTTGCGATGGTCTTACATGTGTTGGAGGTCCACCACTAGGAGAATGTCAATAAATGTAAAAGATTTCGACGCGCTTTTGAATTCTTAAAAAATAAAAATCGTTAATAATACAGCGCAAAATAAAAATGTACCCAATTGTATAATTGAAATAAAAATATAAATAAATTCAGCATAAATTGAGACTTTTCATCTAAAATTTTTTTAAATTATTTATAATGGGGCATTCCATGCAAAATGGGAAAATGACTAAAATTTTTAAATTTCTCTAAATCATTCTGATTTACTCTTAATTTATTATTAAAAGTTGATATTTTACTAATTTGTAAAGAAAAATTTTTTTAATCAATAAGAAAATCGATTTTTCTCTTCTAGTAACTTTTCAGCCATACTAACTTGTATCCGGGTCAAATGTTGTTTTAATAGTTTTAAAAACAAATTCATTTTATGTTTGTTATTAACTAACATATTTATTATTATAGTTTTAAGAACAAATTTTGTTTATGTTCGTTATTAATTAACACCTAAGTTTATCAAGATCGTGTTGTCAGCATCCTAAATCCTTTATTTGTGTTTTTTAATTAGGTTTTTTTTAATTATCCTAAATAATTTATAGTTAAATATATAAACAATAATGTTTGTAAGGTTGAAATAATATAAAAGTCTTTTTAATAAACAACTTGATGTAGACATTTTGTACTTGTCCCACCAGTGACAAATGCCTGTCCCACCAGTCACAATAAAAACAAATTTTTTTAATTGTTTCTACGTAGGTAATCAGTCTAATTCTTCATAATATTCAATGTTTGTAGGATTAATTTAGAATGCGGGAGTAGCGTCATTTCATTCATTAATAAATGACAATTGAAAATTGTTATTTTGAAATAAAAATAAACCCTTAAACAACGTAATTTGATTGAAAATAGATGTTCATTTTGCTAAAAATATGTTTTTTTAACCTTTATATATATTTATAAAAACTCTGCCACAAGGTACGCACCAATAAAAAAATATTTTTAAGAAAAATAAAGACTAATTTCTGCATTATTTATCCATGTAAGCTTAGAAATTTTAATCTGAATTATTTTCTGATCTCTCAACCTTAATTTCTCTTCCAATTAAGGACGGTGATTAAAAGCTTGAAAAACTGACTAACGGAAAATCAAATACAATTGTATTTTTTTTTTTTTTTTTTTCTGAAGGAAGACTTCCAGAGACAAAAAATATCTGATAACGAAGACTGGCTTCAAAAAAAATGGTCTAATGACTTAAAATCAGAACTAAAAATTGAAAAACAATTAAATTTCAATGAGAAATGATTTTGCAACTGAGATTCTACCTTATGCAGACAAATTCGATGGATAGGGTGCTTCAATAGGGCCAATATAGTGCCAAAAAAGTAAAAACAGTACCTGAGCTACAATTATTCCAGCGATGCTGATCTTGATCTTAGGATTTTCAAAATCTCTATACAAAGTATCTACACTATTCCAACTCGCAAGAACGTATGTAATAGTTTTGTTCATATTAAAATTCATTAATTTGAAGGAATAGAAATCTACAATAACAAGAACTTCAATATACGCAACTTTATGTTGTTCTGCAGAACGTTCTGATCTTTGCACGCTGAACAATGCTGCAAACAAAAAAAAAACTCGATGAATATTTCATCAATGATGAAAAACAGTTCATCACTTACGAGCCATCAAGTTTTGACCGTCAGTGTTTGGTAGTTGAGAAATAATATGGTATGATTTGTCTATATCGTCAGAATCGATTTCATCATCAACAGATCTGTTGGATCGATTTTGGTTGAGTGACCTTCTGAGTCGTTCAGGCATTGGACTTACATGCCAATTTTTGTATCCGATGATTCCGCTCTGAATTCAAAATGAAGTATAAATATTTTTTAAATTTATTAATGCTTCACAAAATTTACTTTGGTCGTAATTAAGTTTTATCTGCCATAAATACAAAGTATTACAAAAAAACTTACTATTTCTCTGCGCCCCCTATGAATTTTGACGGACAAAGTAATCCTGTAAGATTTTTCTTGATAAATATGTTGAGATACCATTGCCATACTCTGAAAATATATTTATTATTTTGGCCGGTTGCTTTAAAAATATCATGATCAACTAAATGAAAAACTCACTACAGAAGATCTTCTGACTACTAATTTTCTTTTTTTCGAATCATACATAGCTTCTTTGATCGGAGTGTTTTCTGTTGCAAACAGGTCATTCAAAGGAGTCAAGTAGTGTTCAATTTCATGACTAAAAGCTTGAATTTTAATGTGATGACCCGCTTCAACAGATCGCTTTTGAAGTTTTGGCGACTGGATATTCACTACTTCATAAAGGTGGCACTGCAATTTCATTGTGGCAATAGCAATTAATCAAATCAATAAATATCAGTCAAATTAAAAATTTTGGGTCTTATATACTGGAAGAAAAATTAACTTGACTCAAAAGAAAAAAATTTGAACCAAGAAAATCAATTCAAAGAGCTTCATCGTTTTTAAGTATTTTTAATTTTTCATCTTGATTCAAAATGATTTTATTGATTCAAAAGTTTTTCTTTTGAATCAAGTTAATTTTTCATTAGTGTACTTATTCGTAAACGTCTGCCCAAAATTTGTCTATGTACTCACCTTCCGTTCCTGCTGTACCAAATACTCCAAGTCTTTCTTCAGGTGACATCTCATGATGGATCTGTTAAAAAATATTAATAATTATACTAATTAATTATCACTTTAATAAAATCAACCTAGGTTACGAATATTGTAGTTCAAAAAATTATGATGTCTGTTTAATTGAGTATCATAATAATTAAAAAAATTTTTATCAAAAAATTACCTCTTGGAACGGCGCTCCAAAAACTGTGCCAAAAAGAAGAAACCCGGCAATTATTTGGATTGACAATCCTATAAAAGAATTTTTTTTTTTTTATAATTTAGTCTTAATTATTCTTGAAGTCTAAAGAAGTAAAATGATGCTTACCAGCCATATTGATGCTCTAGTTTCGCCAATTAATTTTTTTAGAGTACAGTTTAAAGCGCTCGGATAATCTGATGGTTTTTATTGGACTTTTGTCGATTATAAACCCTATCATGAAGCTTAGAATTGACTGTTTGAACACTTGTATGCACAATTCGATATTTTTCATACATATTTTTATGATGATAGTGATGACTATTTATTGTAAACAACATTAATCAAATTGTCGGAATTCTGTACTATAAAAGGCTGAGTGCGCATGCTTTTGTTGAACACAAAAATTAGTTTCTATCTATTGAATTATAATAACAATAACAATAGTACTAGTCTTTAATAACTCATGCAGTATATTTGTTAGTAGTTTCCTGGTTGTTTATTTGAATAGTGTGCCAATCAATTGATAATTCAACTGCGTTTGATCATTAACAGAAGTATATTCAACTGATATATTGATATGATATGATATGACAACACTTGACTAATAAATCAAACGTAGCTTTGGGGAACAAATGATAAAAATAAAATATTAAAAATTAATCACAAATTATATTTTGTTATTTTTAATTTTATCGATAGATATTTGACTCACCATTGGATAATTTTCTTCATCTAAATAATTCTAAAATATATAAAAATGTATTTTCACCATTTAATAGGTAATACATTGTTTCTTCCTCTTATCTCAAATTATAAAAATGCTAATCCAAATTTTTATTGACATTATAATTAAATTTTTGTTTGTATGTCAAAGAAAAATTTTAAGTAAAAGTAAATTATTTACATTTCATAATCCATACTTATTGGTAATATGTTCATACTTAGGCTAAATATTTGATGTTATGATTTATGAAATAAATAATTAAACGAGATTTATACTTGAAGAAAAGAATTTATCATGTAAAAATATTATTTTATTCAAAAATTATTTTTTTGATTGAAGTGTATTCCATATTATTGTATTGAGTGTAACATTAAAATCTTTTTGTCAATCTAAAATTACATAAAAAAAATTTTTTCTTCAATAATAAAATTTATTTATTCAATTAAATTACATGATCGGTAAAATAACACTGAGTATTTGCTTGAAATTTTGTATCTTTCAAATTTATTTATACAATTAGTTTTCTATAAACTTATAAAATGATTACAAAATTGATTAAATTTCCATTATTGAGCATTAATCATCTTCTTATCAATATTGTGACATTTTTTTTTCAATAATACATTTTCGTGTAAATAATTGTACAAAATTAACAAGTCATCTTAAAATCGAGAAAAAATTCCATAATTTATTTTATACAATTTAAAAAATTCGCAACATTGTTATTTTTTATTAAAATTCTTGGCATATTTTTTTTTAATTGCATTTTTGAGCGAATAAATAAGCTTCCCATCCATAAATTTCAACCAATTTTTCCTCTGGAAATTTACTATTTTGTGCTTCAAGATATAATTGTTGTTTGTTTTCATTGCGAGTATTCAGCATACAGTGCAAAATATCAAGATCTTTAATTTTTTTTATCTCATCAACTATGCTAGTGTCACATTTTTTAATTGCATCAAATACTTTGTCAATAAGTTCTAAAAGACAAATAATATCAAAATTTCCTGACAAATACGCTAAAGAGTTACCGCCAAATTCAGTTGCCACATTATAAACCGCACCATACTTTAGTAAAATTTTAACAACCTTATAATGGTCGAATAAAACAGCATATACAAGAGGTGTACCATAGTTAGCTGTCATGTTTATGTCAGCATTGAAGTCTAGTAAAAGTCTAACAATATCAGAAAAACCATTCTGGCATGCGTAATGCAATGGTGTTAAAGAATAAACATTTCTGGCATTTACAAAAGCATTTCGTCTCAAACAATCTAAACACCCATTGTAATCACCTTCTTTAGCATAAGTAAACAAACTATCTATTATTTCAAGTTTAAAGACTGTTAATTCATCTTGTGCTAAATTCCATGGTTTTTTATTCTCAGAGTTTTCAGAATCATAATGTGCACCATGCTCCAACAAAATGTCAACTATTAATGGATGGTTACCACTGGCAGCCATATGTAAAGGTGTATTTCCATTCAAATTAAGACCGTTAACATCAAATTTCTGTTCAATCAAAAATTTGGCCATTACAGCTTTACCGTAAAAAGCTGCATCATGCAAGGGTTTGAATTTAGGATTTATTTTATCGGTAACTTCTACTTTTAATGATTCATATAATAAGTGGAATGTATCAAGACTATTTTTCATAATTGCAACGTCTAGAGCGGAGAGATTACTTTCATTCTCTAAGCGTGGGTCAGCTTTGTTTTTCAACAAAAAATCTGCTATCTCGCTAAAGTCATAATATGCAGCGATCATAAGTGCTGTTTCTTTAACAGCTGAAAAAGCATTAACATCTACTTTTTTAGCAACTAACATTTTAACAATATCTAATTGTTCAAATTGGACAGCTCGATGAAGAAATGGTACTCCACCAGGTAGTACACCGTGAATATTGACCCCGTTCTTAAATAATACATCTATAACGTCTTTACTCCCAGTACTAAGAGCTGGATTCATACAATGCTTACTATCATAAATTATTTTTCCTCCGTTGTTTATGAAAACTTGTACCAATTCAGGATGGTTCCATTTACACAACATATACAAAGGGGTTTCGTTCAAACAGTCCTGATAGTTAACCGAATTTTTGTATTTGTTTATTAGAGTGGGGACTACGTTAAATAGATTACTTTCTAGTGCTACATGAATTGGAAGTTTCTTATTAGTTGTTGCTGCCTTAACATCAACATCTTGAGTTAATAGATATTCTGCTACCTTCAGATGACTTCTCATTATAGCTGAATGCAGAGGTGTTACACCTCTTGCATTTTTAACGTTAAAATTGCAACCAGCTTCAACCAATAATTTTACAATTTCATAAGATCCCCCAAAAGCAGCAATACTTATCGGAGTTGAGAATTCTTTCGTCCTTGCATCAAGATCTACTTTTTGACTGATGAAAAATTTAGCAACTTCCGGATGATTTGCATATGCACACGCGTGCAGTGGATTATAGTTGCGACACTCATTTGAATTGTTACAAGTAGCACCGCGCTCAACCAGAAATTTAACAACTTCGAGATGACCATATCTTGCCGCCAAATATAGTGGATTTTCATGAAACACATTTCTTTTTTTTAGTTGTCCTTTTTGTCGAAATAATAATCTCATTACTTCAATATTACCGTTCATAGCAGCTAAGTGCACTGCTGAATTCCCACTTTCTTCATACGGTATGTCTAGAGCTTTTTTTTCCAGCAAAAGTTGAACTATCTCGGGATAACCATTGAAAACTGCAAGAATAAGGGGAGTTTCAGAGATCTTAGATTTAACGTTAACATCAGCCTTGTGTTTTATCAATAACTTAACAATATTGAGAGATCCTTTTTTTGCTGCAAAATGAAGAGCTGCATTTCGATCTATATCGGTCTTATTGACATCTGCACCATTTTCAAGCAAAACTTTTACGACTTCTTCATGTCCATATTGAGCAGCTACGTGCAACGCTGTGGTTCCTTTATTACTACCAATATTGACATCCGCATTATTTGAAAGTAATATTTTTACCGTTTCCACATGACCATAGACGGCAGCATCAAGCAAAGGTGTTACTTCTCCATCCGAACGACAATTTACATCAGGTTGAAGACTAATTAGATATTGTGTCAGTTCTGCGTAGCCATTTTTCGCCGCTATATGTAGTGGGGTTTGGTTCTCATTACTTAGACAACAATGTACCTGTTCATTACTATTTTTCACTAAAAACTCAACAACATCTTTACTATTATTCAACACTGCTAAATGGATCAATTCTTTAAATGAAAGTTCCGTCTTACTCTGCAATAGTATTTTGACGATTTCTATCTGGTTAAAACGAACTGCAAAGTGTAGTGAAGTTACTTTAGAATTATCTAGAACTCCAGGGTTTTTTACATCTCTCATAAACCATTTAACAATTTCAATTTGTCCATATTTTGCTGCAATATGTAGCGAAGATTCTCCATTCATATTTTTAAATTTATTTTTTGCCCTTAGATCCATTAAATGCTGAAAAATAGCTAAATTACCTCCTTTAGCAGCGAAGTGCAGAGAACTCCACCTATGACAATCTGACCCGTTGATATCTGCGCCTGTATTAATTGCACATTCTAACCTTTTTATGTCACCTTGTTCAATAGCTTGAAACATTTCATTTTGATTAATAAGGCATGATAAATGTCGACTGTGTTTTTCTTCCAATTCTTTTATATTAGTTTGAAAAATTTTGCCAATTTTTTTCTCGTTAATTTCATCACTTCTTAAACACAGTTTTTTAGCATTTAACACTATAGCCTTATCTGAATCAAAAATTTGAAAAGTTAAAATAGAGCGAGCCAAATAATTATATAAAATTTTTCCCACTAATATGGGTGCCGAGTTATCGAGTATTGTGTAGTTATCGACTAAGTTCTTTGAAGCATCCATAATAGACATTAATTCCAATGTTAACATTTCTACCGCTGCTTGTGTCGTTAAATTTTGATATATATCCAAATTTTCATCATATTTATGATTCGTCAAGATATTTTTTAAAATTTCAACTTTTGAGTTATAGTCATTGAGTACCTGTGTCGATAGTTCTTTTTTTTCTTGCGCAAAATTAATGTTATCGTCTAGATTTGACATGTTTAAATATTTTTTTGTCCATAGCCGTGTACTCAAAATATCAAGCCAATCATAGCTCTGGAGTCCATGCCCCATCACTACAAAAATTCGATTCGATAGTGATATCATATGCTCACACTTACTCGAAATAAGACGAGGAGCAGCAGCAAACATGTAGTTAAGTATATGGTAAGAAGTTGAATTCGAACCAATTTTCCATTCTTTTTCATCCAACTTTTCGTCCAATGCAAAATTTGCTTCTGTTTTTATTTTTTGAAAAAAGTAAGAATTAAAATTCGCTTTATTTACAGAACTGCACATGCGTTTAAAATGTATCAAGTAATCAACATGCTCAAATCGATCTTTTGCATTTATTCCACGAATATCAGTTTTATCAACCAAAAACTCTAATGATTCTAATGAGTCATCTACATCAGTTTTTATGCGACTTATAAGATTATTAAACTCTGAAATTAGTGTATCATAATTCCAATTAAGATCGACTTCATATTCTGCATACCACTCTGTAACGAAATCTAAATCAAGAGAATTTATATAACTTCTAAGATCTTCAGGAGTTTTAATTTTAACAATTGTTTCTAACATAACTGTAAGGTAATGTATTAGAGTAACATGAAGAATACTCCTCGTCATCCATTCAATTAACTTCAAATCAGCTTGAATATTCTTGAAAATAGTTTCTTCATTAGGGTCATTAGAGTTTCCCTTACCCAGCTTGCGTGTTTGAGTATGAATAAATGATGAGTTGTGAAAATTAACGACAATCTGTCGTGTACGTGAAGACAATGTCGTCAGAAGCAGTAAACTCAGAGATCTCGTCATGTTTGGTGATTCCCAATTATTCTTCATCATTTCGGCGATTATTTGCAGGGTCCTTTTTACTGCCATCTGTCCACGTTTTGTATCTAAGAAAACAGGCTTATCTTTCTCATCCGAATAACTATTCAATGATATATCCACTGAATGGCTTATTAGGTTTAAAGCACAAGCGTCTTTTACACGTTGATAATCCTCATAGAATTCTCTAACTTTAGGATTAGATTTAAGAATTTTAGGTACCATCTTGACTCGACTTTCACGAGGATAGTTCTTCAAAGTATCGAGGTTTTGGTCGTCAATGTTCTTCATTTCATTCTCAAGAATACTTGCAAAAAGATCAAGATAATGTAGTAATTTACTTTTCGGCATCAAAAACTTGAGAAGATTCATATTTTCAACTTTACTATTTTCTCTTGAAGTAACAAATGCAAGCAAATAAAATTCAATTTCTTCCCAAAATATTTTCGAGTACGTTGCCTTCATTTGTTGTTTTAGAATATTGATATTATAAGTGATAAATTTTGAGCGCAGCGATAATATACTATTTAGGTCATTAGAATTTGAATATTCATCTATGAATAAACGAATACTTTCAATTAGCAATTTACCACGTGCTTTTATATCCGGCAGAGAAACTATAATATTTTTATCTTCTTGATCATCCGAATAAAAGTAATGATCTATCGACCGTTCTGCGATAAACATGATTAATTCGTCTGATAAAGTCAACATTTGCAAATCCGCTTCGGCATAAGCGTCTGCAAGAGCTCGATACACCTCTTCAGAATTAACATACCCTGGCCATTCATCAAGTAGCACCTCAATAAAATCTTTCCTATCGTCACGAATAGTATAGTAAAAAGCATTATGATTTTCCTTATCGTAATTACCAGGTTGACAACAGCTAGAGTAAGTTTGATTCTTTTCATCCATCATAAATGTTAAAATATCAATTTTATTGTACTTACAGGCCAAAATAATAAAGTTAGTATTTTTTATTGCGTCCTTGATGGTTTCGTTGAATTTTTTTGGGTTTTCTTCTTTTTCATAATTAAGAATACCAATAATAAACTGAAGATATTTTTTGAAATCATCTATCTCACCGCTACTAATAATGTTCTTAGTAGCGACAGATATAATTTCAGACAACAAAGCAGCTTTATAATATTCGTCATTTTTACGATATTCTTTAAGAACCGATTCTTCTGTGCTATTAAGATTTAGCGATGCTAATTTGTCCGTAAAGTTATCTTGGTTTTGGAAGGACGACATGTTGATATTGTCACTAATCGTTTTATGAAATTCAATTTTTAAATCACGTTCTCATGCTGGAAAAAAATAATTCATTAAATAAATCCAATATAGATTCTGGAATTTTATGTATATAATGCTTAATAATATTGTTGAATAATTTTTTAAATATTTTAAGCTTAAATCACATTGGTTTTATTTTTATTCTATTATCTTAGCAGCTTAAAAGATCAAGTACTTACTACAAATGTTCAAGGACGTCTTATTCCGTACTAAATTATTGAATGGATGATGATGATGAAAAACAGCACAATAACCGTCAATTCCTATAAATTACGACTATTAGTAATTAATAATAAAATATAATAATTAAAAATATATTTTATGCACCTATTAATTAACAACACCAGACTTTCGAAAAATGCACACCTAGCACGTTCAAATCACTCAGCTCCAATTTCAATTATTTTTTGCAAATAAAGACTGGTTTAATTGCAGTAAAAATCTGCAATTGATAAATAATATTTTAATAAAATTGTTATGGTTTGATACAACGTTAAATTATTAAAAATAAATTTTAAATAAGTTACTAACTGAAAAATTAATGAATACAGATTATTTCTAGATTTCCACAGTACGAAATTTATCTACACACGAGCTAAGACAAAGACCTTCTATTTCATTTATTACTTATATGAACTATTTTCCTACGGTACAGTTTGATAACTAGTGAACGAAACTGAAGTAAGCTGACATCTAATTATTTTTAAAAATTTTTTTTCAACATGAAAAATAGAAAAATAGACACTCCGAAAAATTTTACTTCAAATTTGATGAATTTAATTTATACACGCGCATATTTTTAGCGTACTTTTATACTATGCGTGACATTAATTTATCCCTGTTCGTGTTGCTTTTGTATTATTTAAAATGTGTATTTTTGGACATTTGAATAAATGGATATGGAAATTTTTAAAAATGGACATTTGATTTTTTGGAAATAATAATAAAAGTACTCAAGTAAAATTAGACATTAATATAAATGGACATTAATAAAAAAGGAAATAATTATAAATGTACAACTGCACTTATGGCCAACTTAAAAAAATGAAATCCCTATTTTTGAAAATATCTCCAAATGGAAATAAAAGTATTTGGTAAAAAGTTGTTATGAACAAATAGATTAATGGACATTTTCTTAGATAAACATTTATGAAAATGGATAATAATATAAAAAGACATCAGTAAAAATGGTTAAAAATACAAATGTACAATTGAATATAAAAGGAATAGTCACTTAATGAACATATGATTTTATGAACAATTGAAAAAATAGACATTTAAATTTTAGGAAAAGTGAATAAATGGCCATTTGTATAAATGCCCATCAATAAAAATGAACTTTGTAAAAATGAACATTTAAACAAATGAACTTCGATAAAAAAATACTTACTTAAATGGAAATCAGTAAAAATGGACATTCATAAAAATGTAAATTAGTAAAAATGGACATTCGTAAAATTGGACATTTCAAAAAATGGATAAATGATTTAAATTTAATTACAAATATAATTATGAAGTTGATAAATTATAAAATTAGGGTTTTTGGTGTGCGTAAAGGAAAAAAGATGTCAGAAGAGCTGAGAACTCGGCTACCAAAAGGCATCTTCTTGTAATATTTGATGAACTAATTGATGTTTTATCGTTTTCCGTAAAAACCTACGAAGAAGATGTCTTGGTTTTTTATTCTCAGAGATTTTAGAATCATAATGTGCACCATGCTCCAACAAAATTTTAACTATTAATGAATGGTTACTACTGGCAGCCGTATGTAAAGGTGTATATCTATTCAAATTGAGAGCGTTAACATCAAATTTCTCTTTAATTAAGAATTTGACCATTTAATCTCTACCATGAATAGCTGCAACATGTAAGGGTCTAAATTCATTACTTGTTTGATTAGTAACTTGCACTTTAAATGATTTAACTAATAAGCAGAATGTTTCATAATTATTCGCCATAATTGCAATGTCTAGAGCCGTGAGATTATTTTCATTTTCTAAGTCTGGATTGGCTTTATTTTTCAATAAAAAATCTGCTATTACCGTAAAGTTATAATATGCAGCGACCATAAGTGCTGTTTCTTTAGCACCCGAAACAGCATTGACATTTACTTTTTTAGCAATTAACAGTTTAACAATCTCCAATTGTTCGAATTGAACAGCTCGATGAAGAAATGGTATTCTATGAGGTAGGAAACCGTGAGGATTGACCCCGGCCTTTAACAATACCTCTACAACATCTTTGCTTCCAGACATCCCGAGTCGAAAAATTTAAACTGATTTTAAGCTAAATGATCTGCATTTGAACTTATTGATCTGTATTTGAACTTTAAAAAACATTTTTATCGGTATTTCATCTACTATTAAAATTATTTTTGATCTGTTTTAAGTCTAAATAACCTTTTAGTAAAATAATTGAGCAACTATGAATATTTTATGCTGTTTCTAATCTAATGAAACTAAAAAGTTTTAAAAGTTTGATCGGTTTTTAGTCTAGTTAATTTGTAGATGGACTTTATATATTGTTTTCAAATTCAATATGAAATCTTATACTGTTTTTGATCTACAATTTTCACTCTAAATGTTCGAAGGCCAAAAGTCGACTAAGATGGTGACTAATAATTTTTTGGACTTAAAAGTATCTCATTAAAAAGAATAATAGATCTGAAAAACACCCTCGATGGATAAAAAAAAAGTCATTTTTTTTATTGTTTTCAAATTGAAATTGCGAATGAAAAAAAAAATTTTTTTTCTTCAATTGTCTTAACAAATTTTTTAAAAAATTTATTCCAGTTTTCGAAATTGCCCTTCAATTTTCTGTATGGTCACTGATTGTTGAGATATCGATGTATGTAGACAAAAAGATCTTTTTTCGTTCAGTTTAAGATTTCTCCGCCATAAACGGACGTAACACAAAAATAAAAAATGGGAATTGAAGTTAAATAAATAGGCTATCTTGTTTATTTGTTGGTTTAATCGAAAAAAATTTTTCTGATCCCGTAGAGCATAAAAAAAAAAGATTAAAAATTTTGATAAGTATATTACATATAATACTTAGGCCAGTAAAATAATAAAAGTCTCAGATCACATGTAATTGTTGGCCGAGGCGAAGCCGAGGTTGACAAACATGTGATCTGAGGCTTTACTTTTTACTGGCCAAGGTGTGTATACTATTTTTCTGCTCGACGTAGCCGGAATGTGGCAACTTTGTTTAGCGCAGCGGCCAGAAAGTTGCCACTTTCCGGCCGGAGGGCAGAAAAATAAATTAATTTATAATATATTCTGTGCTCTCTTGTTTTATGAACTGAACGTCGATTATAATCTTACATCTGTTATATTTATTTGTCATAGCTCAACATTTCATGGATTATGAAAGTTTTGTAACTGCGAATATATTAGTTGCAGTGATAACTAATAAATTTGTATTAATATACGTTTATAAAATAGTTCTCATCGTTTAATTATGGATCTAAATCCATAGTTTTCTAATTATCGTTATTAAACACAATGTGAATACATCGAGATAAGATTAAAATGTTGACAAGATTAATGTTAAATTTTATACTTTCACGCATCATTTAATGAGTGGTATTCACTATTTGGTAGTGCGAAGAGTACCGTTTTGGTATACATTGCACTACGAAATAGTGAATTGTCACTATTTCAGTTTCAGAGAATGAAAAGCCGTGCCCTGTAGAGGATCTTCGAGGACATGAATAAAATAATAAGATATATTATTATTATTATTATTATTATTATTAATATTATTATTATTATCAAATTCGTAAAAGGTCGGTTTTTGATCTACAGGCGATGAAAACCCGACTAAAAATTATAGAACGTTTTGGTCTGTTTTTGACCTTGATGCGATCAAAACCAGCTAAATGATTTTGTGACGAAAAAAGTCTGATTTTGGTCTTGAAACAATAGAAAACAATTTTATTATAACATTAAAAATGATCTGAAATTGGTCTGAATTGTGAATAATACGGGCAAAAACAGATTAAATTCTCATATAAAATAGATACACATAATAAAATTAAATTGAATGAAAAATATTAAAAAATTTTATTAATCATAAAACAGACTAAATTTTTTGACCCGGGATAATAACTGGATCCATACAATGCATATTAGAGTAAATTATTTCTGCACCATTGTTTATTAAAAGTTGTACCAATTTAGGATAGTTCCATTGACACGCGAGATACAGAGGCGTTCTGTTACAATCATCCTGATGGTGAATCGAATCTTTGTTTTTGTTAAATAGTGCGGCGACTGCGTTAAATTGATCATTTTCTACTGCTAAATGAATTGGAAGTTTCATGCTTTTTATTCTTAACTAATTTGTTTAAAAAAATTGACAAGTAATTGCTAATTTTAATATCATGAAAATTACAGATAATTACAAGGGCAAATTTAAAAAAAAATTTTTATCATAATTGATTTCGAATAAAAATAACATTTTTCTTACCTTAACACTGATCGTGATTAAGAAATTTATTTTTTTTTCTAAGAAAAAAATTATTTTATATAAGAATTTTTATGATTTTCTGTTTGGTAATAAAGAATTTGTTAATTTTATTAAAATTTGTTAATTTTTTCATAATTATTAAGTTAGTTATAATAAAAATAAAAAAATAATTACGTATAGAATTATCATGCGTAAAAAATATCTTAGGATTTTTCTAAGGACTTAAAAAAAATATCACAACAATTTAATTATATTTTTTATTTATTAATAATTATTAAATTTTGAGTTATAATTAATAATTATCATTTTAACATACAAATGCAACGTAAGTGTAAAAATTTTAAACAATCAAGCGCTTAAAAAAATCAAGGATACCCTTGCGTAATTTTTGCATAAAAATTGAGTAAATTTATTTAAAATTTGATATATTAAAAAAACTACTGTTGTTTATATGAATTTAAATGGCTGCTGGTTTACTGTGTGATTTACTACAATTAAAATCATTGTTTGGAATTTTTTTCTTCTTACTAGTTACTGTTTACTTCAATGAAGATGATTTGTTTATTAAATTACGTACGTAGTCATAAAACATCGCGATAAACGAATATAAATATCTATGTGTATATATATTTATATATATTTATTCATTTATTTATATATATATTTATAAAATCCTATTTGTTGATAAATGCACAAGCCCAACAAATACCAGATACTTAACATATTCTTTTTTTTTTAGCTAGCATTCACCACACATGTAAAGCTTCCCAAGTTCATAGTTCATGAACTTCGATTACTTATTGCATATATTCGTTTTTCCTTTACCTGCAAAAAAAAAATTTATGAATAAGTATTACTTAATAATTAATTAATTATTAAGTAGCAACCTGCAGTCACTATATATGAGACTGCCGAGAATTGTGGAATATAAATAAATAAAATTTTGCTTAATTAAATAATGATTTTTGTTAAATTGCACTGTACTTTCTTAAATATTGAGGTTTTTAAAGATATAAGCTCATCCCGATGTTACACTCATCAAGAGCTTTCATTTGAGTACCCACATGCATTTTTATATATTTTTCATATTTACATATATATATATATATATATATAAATATATAAAATATATGAAAAATTGATATGGGTACTCAAATGAAAGGTCTCTATGAGTGTAACATCGGAATGAGCTTATATCTTTAAAAATGTCAATAGTTCATAAGATACAAGGTCATTTCTTAACTATTGATATTTTTAAAGATATAAACTCATTCTGATGTTATGCTTATCAAGAGCTTTACTCAAATGAAAGGTCTCAATGAGTGTAACATCGGGATGAGCTTATATCTTTAAAAATGCCAATAGTTCCCAAGATACAAGGTCATTTCTTATGTATCTAAAGGTAGAGCGTTTTCGAACGCAGCCTCAATAATCATTATAAATTAACTATCGCTGATAATAATATTCAACCTTGAAAAGGCACAATCTTTGCAATGATACTAAATTTCACTAAAAAAAACCGATTTTATCATATGACTATCCTAGACCCAAAATTTTCCTTACTTTTTTAATAATACAGATTATAAAAACCTACCCCTTAAATTCATTTTACGCATGAGTAGTAGCCGGATAAGTCTTTCCATTATTAGTAATCTTATTCTCAGATTGACACACACTGCCCTCTGTATTCCTCTCTTCAGGGTGTTCCAAAACCTGAACCTCCAAAGAATCTGACGAAATCCTTCTCGAACTATTGAACTGATCTCCCGCATAAGGATCCTGAGAATCCCTAACATTATTCAGCGAATCCGAGTAACTAAGCGAAGGATAATCAATCGTAGTTTTCAATTCCAACGAATCAGAGCTTCTGCACATCAAATTATTGTGTTTATCATCTTCAATTTCCAACGAATCCGTGCTAGTTTCCATAACATTAACATTAACCTCCGAAACTTGACCTTGAACCGCAATAGGTTCAATTTTCTCCACATCAGTCATATCAATTTGCGAGATATCTTCAGTGGTATCATCTTGCCTATCAAACTTCTCAACATTAGCCTGAGCAATTCTAATAATCTCATCAATTTCCATAATCCTTTTCTCATAATCATCCGAGCCAGAAGTGCTAGGATTAAAAGATCCAGCCGCACTTAAATCCGCTGGTTTGGGTTTGGGCAAATTCTCCAACCTGTATCTATTCTCTGGGCTTTCATGATCCAGAAGATCCTCCTCTTCTTTGGCCTTCAGCTCAATAATATGAGCTTCTTTACAAGCTTTCTCCAACCCTTCAAAATCCGTCAACGAAGACACGGAAACATCATCCCCATGTCCCGAACGGCTAGCGACGTATCTTCTGGGTAGACTTCCATTGTTAACAGAGTCCTGAGAGCCACAATAGATCCTCTTGCCATTTTCCCCAATCACAGTGTTCTCCAGCGACTCAAATTCCTGAAGTGAGTTCATTGAAATATTGTCATGCTCAATCGACTTGGAGAACATCTTCTTCCCCGCTAGGATATCATACTCAGTCCCCAAACTCCCTTTCATACTCCCGCTGCTGCCAATTGACCCTTTATGACTCCCCAAACTCCCAAATCTGCTGCTTCCAGCCTCAAAATCCGTGACCTCCTCCTCCTTGATATCCTCCAGAGGTCCTCGATCATACTCCAGCTCATAACCCCTAGGATCACCAGTAAACTGCATCTCCATCCACTTTTTCGCTTCCTGCTCATCATCAGAAAATGATTGCTGAGAAGACTGATCTTCATTCGAAGCTTGGGGAGGACTTTCTTCTGACTCAAAGTCAAACAATTCATTCTTCAACAAAGCCTGACTAACCGGAGCCTCTTGCTTCGTCTCCGTAATCAAATTCTCCAGATCTCTGTCAAACTTCTTGAGACTTCCAGCAGGAATTGGTTTAATCAAGATACTCTTTCCTTCAGAATCAAATTCTTCTGCTTCACGGCCGACTTCTTCTACCACAACAAAATCATCAATGATATCAGGCTTGTCTACTAATTCAAAAGAATCACTATCTGGAGAATGACGATCACGTTCCACTACTGTTTCAATAGACACCCCAGAAGTTGAAGAAGTAGACATGCTTGCTTGCTGCAGAACTGATCTCTTGGTCAGCAAAAGGTTCTCCACTTCGTCAATTGTGCTGAGCGAGCTCATTTTGAGCTCTGAGGAATCAATGTCGTCTCCAGTAGACTGGGCTTCTATTGACTTCAACTTAACCTCCGGAGAAGAAGTGTCTTCTTCAGCCTTGCCACTTATCTGCTCAGAAATCGCGTCAATTGTAGAAGTCTTCAGATCATCATCTTCGCTGATCATAATTGAAGAAGTAACCTTTGTAGACTGGCCTTCTTCAGCAGTGGAGCCTTCTCCTTCAGGAATTGTGTCCGCATCCTCAGAAATCTGCTGGAAAATCATCTCAGAAGAGCGCTTCATTTTACTGGGTATGTCTCCGGTGATATTGTCCAAGGTATCATCAAGAGGCATGTCGCTTTCCGACGACCCAGAAGATTTGTCATCATCCAAAGCTAATTCCAGGTTCTCGTCGATTTCATCCTTGTCCATTTCTGGTTCGGAAGCTACAAGAGTCTCCGTAAGCTCGCTGGTGCTGTCAATGCTCCCCAGATGCCCTGAACTGAGCGAATTGAGGGATTTCATAGACTCTCTGGAGCTTAGAGTCGAAACCGCGCTTTGGTAGTCTTGAGAAGTCTGCTTGGAAGATTCAAGGGACATCATAGCTGTCTCATACTCCGACGCAGTCGCTGATAAGAATCCCGAGGCTGTGTGGAGTACTTCTATGTCAGAAGAACTGGGTCTGCTGCTTGTTTCATAATCGCACGACTGATAATTGCTGCTCTCTCCTGAACTGGAGCCTCCTTCGCTTTCAGACTGAATTTTCTTGGAGATTCGCGCTGGTTTCTGTCGCTTCCGAGGAATTGGTTGCGGAGGAACTGACAAAGAACTGGAACCGTCGAAGTATTCAGCGTCAGAGCCAGATCTGCTTGCTGCAACAGGCAGCTTCTCGAAGTCGTCTTCAAGAATCTTCACCTCCATGGTCTTGTCACTTGGCAATTCGCTCAAAGTGTCATTGTCGCTAAGCGGTTTCTCAGAAACGCTTTCGTCATCTAGAGTGTCCTCCTGCTTCCTTGGTTTAGCGACCGGAGAACCACTCAGATCCTCAGCAGGTTGCTCAAAAGAAGGGGCTTTGTATAAAAATGGAAGATCATTAGGAATAGATTCGGGTTCAAGCTTAAACTGGAATTCCGAAGGAGATTCTTTGATTTGTACAATAGTCTCGCTGTTTTCGCTCAATTCTTCAATGAGATCCTGCTTAGCGGCTTCCAAAGACTCTTTAACTTCTTCTATTTCTCGCTTGACAACCTGGTCTAGAACAGTGATTGCATACCTTGCACTCAAGTCCACATTGGCTTCCTTTTTCAATCTAAACGGACTGGAGTCCATAGACATCCCAGCAAACTTCTCCCTATTCAAAGTTCTTTCCAAATGCTTCTGAGGCTCGTCCAAAGATTTAGTTTTGCTATAAAACGATTCCTTCAAAGCCTTAGCTTGACTTTCCTTCCCTTCCTTCTCAGATTCTTCCAAAGTATCAATATCCTTTTCATCCTGCTCGCTTTTTTCCACTTTCGTCTTAGCTTTTTCCGCAACCTCTACTTTATCTTCAATTTCAACCTTCTTTTCATCAACAACATCCTTTTCGCTCTCAGAAACTCCAATTTCATCAGTAGGCGTCCGTTCTTCATACTGCCTATGAAGACTAGCCACCAATTCTTGGCAACTGATATCCAACTTATCCTCAACCAATTCCTCATCATCCATCTCACTAACCGACTCCACAACAATCTTACTAGCTTCTTTCACAGATTCAATAGTGCTAACATCCTCCGAAGACCTAGTAGTCGATTCTTGCTCAGCAGAAACATCATTAAGCGAAGTCAAGCTCTGCTGTTTCACCATACTAGACTGATACTCCTCCAGTTCCTTATCAAAAGCCTGAGAAGGCTCCAAAGTCTCCTGGATCTCAATCTTCTCATCGCCAATCGACCAATCCACCGGTTTGATATCCAATTCCTTCAACTTAGTCCTCGGAGAAACCACCGCAGGTTTCAAATCCCGATCAATGCTTTTGGTATCCAACCTAGACACCTTTTCCACTTCAGTCCGTTCAGGCTCCATAGAAGAAAACCCGCCGTCTTCGCTTTCAATCCCACTCTTAGCCTTAGGACTCAAACTGCGTTCAGGAACAAGTGAAGAATCCGACATAGAACTGGGACTAAACGTCAGATCTCTTTCCTGGCCGATTTTATCCAAAGCTTCCATCCCAGGGCTCTCGTGCAACTTAGCAAACTCCAGATTCTTCATATACTTCTCATCCAACGAGTGTTCTTCCTCATCATCCTCAAATCTTAATTCATCAATCTCCAAAGAAGAAACATCAACCGAATCCTGCCTAGAGCCCCTCCTTAGATCACCACCAGGCTCTATGATCTCCAGAACTCTAGCACCAGTGTTTTCATACCCAAACTTCATCGGAGAAACATACTCATCGGGCTGCTCAAAGTACTCTTCCACAACCTTAAGCTCCTCCGGATACTCCACAACTGGCATAGGACTCTGCCCAGCTTGTTGTCCCGAACTCAAAGACTCCAGATCAATCTGCTCGGAAATACTACTAGGACTCATCGTAATATCCCGCTCCATGATCTTCTGCGAGGACGAAGACAAGAAGCTTTCTTCCCTATCATGAGGCGTCGAATCTTCATCCTTGGTCAAGTCTTCCTCAATACTCAAGCTTCCGCGGGTAGAATCTTTATCCAACCTTTCATTGTGCCCTATGAAAGTCGCCCTGATCTGATCTAAGCTTTCAATCACCTGAACCTGGCTCTCCTTCCTCTTTCCCATGATGTTCTCAAACTTCTTCGTCAAATCATCAGCCAGGTGTTCATCAAAGTCTTCATCAGTCTCATTCACATTATCAAACTCGTAACCCATCTTCAAACCACTAGAGCTTTCAGATCTCTTCACCAATTCATCTTCTATCGACTGGACCAAATTTTCCGCGATATCCCTAGCTTCTATCTCCGAGGCTTCATCAGTTTCTTCAGAATTGTCATTGAATTCTTCCCCAAAAGCTTCATCCCGGGAGATATCTTCAGTAGTTTCTCTAGAAGGAAACACTTTTGTGTCAGAATGTCTAGAAGACTCCTCATGAGTCTGCTCATGAATTACAGCAGCTTTTAGCTCATCCTCCAAGCTTCTTCCTAAGCTGGACATATCCTCCATATCATTGGACCTATCCTTCTCAATTCTAACTGCAGTATCAATTGCATGCTCCTTTAGAGTCTTGATTCCAGCCTCTTGGATCACAACACCATCATCATCTTCAACTTTGTGAATATTTATCTGATCCTTCAGCGACTTCAATTCCTGCGAAGCTCTAGCATCAACAATTTGCTTTCCACCCGCAAGATTCACTTCGATATCCTGAATTGTGCTCTTGTCAGCAGTTTCGTGCTTCAGCGTCTTATCCTCCACGGTTTCTTCTTGCGTTTCAGTGGTAACTGTCGACTCAGAAGACTTCTCCTTCAATTCCCGTTCCTTCTCCTCATGTTTTACCGTCTTTTCATCCCCAAAGACCAGCTCCGAAGACTTAATCTCTTTCTTCTCAACTGTAACCATCTTTTCGTGGTCTACTTTTGAGGTAGTCACCAGAGAATCCGGTTCGTGGAGCGCTTCAGCACCTTCGAAGGCTCTTAGAGCTTCCTCAGGGTCCGTAAACGTCTTTGTGATGGTTTGGGAATGAATTTCCCGCTCTGAAGTGTGAGTTTCTATCCGCTGGGACACTTTTTCTGTTACCTTTGTCTCCATCACTGTAACTCCATCATCTTTAAGCGGGAATTTTTCAAATTTGGTTATCTCTATACGCTTTGGAATTCCAGACTTCTTCTTCTTGTCCTCAGTATCCTTCAGGTCTTCTTCTTTAGGTTTAACTCCTTTGTTTGCGTCCTTGGAACCAAACACTGGAATTTTAGACTCTTTCTTCCCATTTTCTTTTTCCTTATCGGCCTCTACAAAACTATCAACTCTTATTTTAGTCGGAATCTTAGAAACTTTCTCCTCGGGACTCACTTTAGCTGCATCAGAACCTTGATGAGTTAACTTAACCTCAGAATCAATAAACTCCCGACAAATCTGCTTAGTGTTAATAGAATCATCAGCAATAACTCGGGTTTCTTCAATCGATACCACCTTTTTTTCCACGGTCTTGACCTTATCGGGTTCAATCGATGTTGTAGTAGTTACCTCGGATTTTATTTTCCTTGGAATTAAAGACGGTTTAGCGTCAGACACTTGTAAGACTTCAGGCTTTACATGTTGTTCTACTAGATCGTCTATCGTCACCTTGGTTTCTTTTTTGCTCTCTAAATCACTTTCTTCTGTTTTTACACTTTCATCCTCTTTACTTGTTTCTGTAATCTTCTTAACCTCTTTTTCTGTTAACAATCTTTCAATACTTTCTTCAGTTTTCGTTGTTTTTAACTCAAAATCTTGTTCCTTCAATTCTTCTTTATCAGCAACTAACTTATCTTCATTCTTCATTTCTTCTTTATTACCAATTAATTTGTCCGCAATCTTAACCTCTTTTTCTTCTAATACGTCAATACTTTCTACAACTTTAAAACCTTCTTTTGTTTCTTCCTTGTTACTGCTAACTTCAGTCGGTAACTTATCTTCACTTTTAACTTGTTCTTGATCATCTTCATAACCAATTGTAACCTCTTTTTCTTCTCTCAAAACTTTATCAGTACTTTCAACATTTTTGAATGTTTCTGACTCCAAATCGTGTTCCTTTTCTTCTTCTTTCTTATCAATAGCCTCAGTCGGTAACTTATCTTCATTTTTAATTTTTTCTTGATCATCTTTATGAGCAATCTTAACTTCTTTTTCTTCTATTAATACTTTTTCATGACTTTCTACAGTTTTAACTGTTTCTAACTTCAAATTATCTTGCTGCTTTATTTCTTTTTTATCAATCGGCAACTTATCTTCACTCTTAATTTCTTCTTGATCATGTTTACCAACCAAACTATCAGTAATTTTAACCTGCTGTTTTTCTATTGATAATTTGTCATGACTTTCTACATCTTTTAATGTTTCTAACCTCGAATCTTGGTCCTTTTCTTCTTCTTTCTTACCAGTAGCCTCAGTCGGTAACTGATCTTCACTCTTAATTTTTCCTTGATCATCTTTATGAGCAACTTTAACCTCTTTTTCATCTAACAAAACTTTATCAGCACTTTTTACATCTTTTGATATTTCTGACCTCAAATCTGGTTCCTTTTCTTCTTTTTTATCAACAGACTCAGTCGGTAACTTATCTTCACTCTGAATTTTTTCTTGATAATCCTTATGTCCAACTGTAACTTCTTTATCTTCTTTCAATAATTTTTCATGAATTTCTACAGTTTTTATTGTTTCTAACGTCAAATTATCTTGTTGCTTCATTTCTTTTCTATCAGTCGGTAACTTCTCTTCACTCTTTTCTTCTTGACCATGTTTACCAACCAAATTACCAGTAATTTTAACCTCTTTTTCTCTTTCTAATACCTTTTCATCAATTTCCACAGTTTTAATTGTTTCTAACCTAGAATTATCTTGATCTTTTATTTCTTCTTTATCAATCGGTAACTTATCTTCACTCCTTTCTTCCTGACCATGTTTACCAACCAAATTATCAGTAGTTTTAACCTCTTGTTCTTTAACCAATACTTTTTCATGAATTTCTACATCTTTTAATGTTTCTAACCTTAAATCTTGTTCCTCGTCTTCTTCTTTCTTACCAGTAACCTCAGCCAGTAACTTATCTTTACTCTTAATTCTCTCTTGATCATCTTTATGAGTAACCTTAACTTCTTTTTCTTTTATTAATACTTTCTCATGAATTTCCACAGTTTTAATTCCTTCTAATCTCAAATTATCTTGTTTTTTTATTTCTTCTTTATCAGTCGGTAACTTATCATCACTCTTAACTTCTTTTTCTTCTTTCAAACCTCTTTCATAACTTTCTTCAGTTTCTAATCTTCCTAACTTCAAATCACCTTCTTCCTTTATCATTTCTTCTTTACCGGTACCCTCAGTCGGTAACTTATCTTCACTCTTCTCTTGATCTACCTTACCAACCAAATTTTTTCCAGCATCTTGCTCAACTTTCTTTACATCAGGACTCAAATCTTTATCTTTAAACTGTTCACAAACAGAACTGTCCGTAGAAAATCTTTTATCCCTTGGCAAAGATTCCTGAGACATTAATTTCGAAAGCGGCCGCGAAACACCAGTGGCAGTAATTTCCTTCTGAATTTGTTCTTCAAAGTAATGAGCTTTTTCCGCAACTGAGCACTCAGACATATCCGGAATATTCAAATCTTCCATAGTTTCCGAGTGCATTGCACTGTCAAACATATTGTCCATTTCTTCTTCCGAAATAGGGTTCTGAAGATAATCACTATCGCTCTCATTAATCGTCATTTGAGAAGCTCTCGAAATTTCAGATTCAGATCGCTGATAACTGTCGCGCTTTCTCGTAATATCTTCCCAAAATTTACGTTTTTCTGAGTAGGTTTGCTTCTCTAAATTCGGGGATAGTAATTCTTCTTTATTGTTAATATTACTATCATTAATATTGTTAGGATAACTACCGTCTACGGATTCTAAAGGACAAGCCACTTTTTGTGCTAAGGATTCATTTATTTCGGCATCTAGAACAACCAAGAATTTTTTTTATTAATTTTTTTGTTTTTTTATTTATTTACTTTAATTTATTTAAAGTCGCATTAACTACATAAGGTAATTAACGACTATTATTTTATAAATACATGTGTAGGTTTACTTAATATTTATTAAATTATAATTGAATACATTTGAAATTTTTCAATTTAAATCCTTTTAATTAACTACGAGGGTAAAGAAATATATTCTGCAAATAAATAAAAATCATTCAGAAAAAAATAAAATTATGATTTTTTTTTTTATTGTAATCAATGTACCTAGTTATAATTTACATCGATTAAAAAAAATGTACATTCAACAAAATAAATAAAAAATTAATACACTGATAGAAAGATTTTTAGTACCAGTAACTCGCAGTCACTATGTGTAACTTGTGAACTATAAATAAATTAAATTTTGCTTTATCAAATAATGACTTTTGTTAAATTCCACTGTACTTTCCTAAAAATATTGACGGTTTTAGAGATATAAGCTCATCCCGACATTACACTCATCAAGAGCTTTTATTTGAGTATCCACATGCATTTTGATATATTTTTCATATATACATACATATATATAATATATAAAATATATGAAAAATTGATGTGGGTACTCAAATGAAAGATCTCGATGAGTGTAACATCAGAATGAGCTTATATTTTTAAAAATGTCAATTGTGCACAAAATACAAGGTTATTTCTTAATAATTGATATTTTTAAAGATATAAGCTTATCTTGATATTACACTCATCAAGAGCTTTCATTTGAGTACCCACATGCATTTTGATATATTTTTTATATATATACATATATATAATATATATAAATATATGAAAAATTGATGTGGGTATCCAACTGAAAGGTCTTAATGAATGTAACATCACGATGAGTTTATATCTTTAAAAATCTCAATAGTTCTCAAGATATAAGGTATCCCAGGTCAAAAAATTTAATCTGTTTTACGATTGATGAAAATTTTTAATATTTTTCATTCAATTTAATTTTATTATGTGTATCTATTTTATATTAGAATTTAATCTGTTTTTGCCCGTATTATTCCCAATTCAGACCAATTTCAGATCATTTTTGATGTTACAATAAAATTGTTTTCTATTGTTTCAAGACCAAAATCAGACTTTTTTGTCACAATCATTTAGCTGGTTTTGATCGCATCAAGGTCAAAAACAGACCAAAACGTTCCATGATTTTTAGTCGGTTTTTCATCGCCTGTAGATCAAAAACCGACCTTTTACGAATTTGATAATAATAATATTAATAATAATAATATATTTATTTATTATTATTTTATTCATGTCCTCGAAGATCCTCTACGGGGCACGGCTTTTTATTCTCTGAAACTGAAATAGTGACCATTCACTATTTCGTAGTGCAATGCATACCAAACGGTATTCTTCGCACTACCAAACAGTGAATACCGCTCATTAAATGATGCATGGAGGTATTAAATTTAATATTAATCTTGTCATCTTGTCAGCATTTTAATCTTGTCGATGTATTCACATTGTGTTTAATATCGATAATTAGAAAATTCTAGATTTAGATCCATAATAAAACGATGACGATGAGAACTATTTTATAAACGTATGTTAATACAAGTTTATTAGTTATCACTGCAACTAATATTCACAGTTACAAAACTTTTATAATCCATGAAATATTAAGCTATGACAAATAAATATGACAGATGTAAAGTTATAATCGACGTTCAGTTCATAAAACAAGAGAGCGCATGAATATATTATAAATTAATTTATTTTTTCAAATAAATGCGACTTATAATTTTTAATGAGATACTTTTGAGTTAAAAAAATTATAAGTCGCCATCTTTGTCGACTTTTGCCCTATGAACATTTAGAGTGAAAATTGTAGATCAAAAACAGTATAAGATTTCAGATTGAATTTGAAAACAATACATAAAGTCCAACTACAAATTAACTAGACTAAAAACCGATCAAACTCTTAAAACTTTTTAGTCTCATTAGATTAAAAACAGTATAAAATATTCATAGCTGCTCAATTATTTTACTAAAAAGTTATTTAGACTCAAAACCGATCAAAAATAATTTGAATAGTAGATCAAATACAGATGAAAATGTTTTTAAAAGTTCAAATACAGGTCAATAAGTTCAAATGCAGATCATTTAGCCTAAAATCAGTTTAAAATTTTTGACCCGGGTAATTTCTCAATTATGTATCTAGAGATAGAGCATTTTATAATGCAGCCTAAATTTAACTTTGAAAACCTATTTAATCATATAAATACACTACAAAATTTTGCTTATTATCTTAATAATCTAGTTTCATTAAAATTTGAAAAATTAAATTATTAATAGTTAATAAATCCTTCTATCAGTGCACCGATTAAAAAAAAATAATCAAAAAGAAGAAATGCAAAAAAAAGCATAAAATAAAATACAAAAAAAATCTATTCAAAATCTTCAACATCAGTAAGCCCATCAGAAGCGCCATCATCACCGGGATCCCTAACACTCAACAAATCCTCCATCTTGTTAACATTTTTCACAATAACTTGCGAGCCGGCTAGCAAATCAAAGTCCTCTATATCATCCTTCTGTCCACAAGCGCCATCTATTTCTTCTTCTTCATCAGACGCGTCAATATCTTCAGTGTCAGTGCCTCCGTGTAGCAGCGACAAGTCATCAATTTTTTTATGATCTTCAAAGTATTCTTCATCAACCGACATTTGCCTTCTGACCTCAATAGAAAAAGGACCATCGCCTTCTTTGGTAGTAATTGTTCCTCCCCCGAACTCTCGGAGAATGTCCAAAGCCTTGGGTAGCAAGATCGGAGGCTCAACCGGGTCATCTTCATCATTGGAAACATCTTCAAGGTCAGTTTCACCTTGACAATTATTTTCCATCACAGTAAGTCCTTTTTTTTCTACTTTTTTGCAGCTTGACTCTTGATCGCTTCCCATGTAAATTTCATCGACATCCGTCAGGTTTTCCGCGAAGCTATTGCGTCGATCCACGTTAGGAAACTCTCCCAGACCATCCCACTGCAAATCTTGCGGTTCAGAGTCCGCGTTTTCCAGCGTCACTGATATTATCGGCGTAACTGGACCGTTTGGCAGCCGCCGCTGCTTCAAAGGACTTAAGCTGCGGATTTGCGAGCTCATTATTGTTAACTCACCCTCTGAGTCAGTGTCTGAGAAGTGGATTGACACATTTGACATCAAAGCGTTTAATCGTCGTCTTGATTTTGGTTTCTTCTTTGGTTTTGCGCCTGTTGATGGAGACTCTGAACGCGAGTCTTGCTTTGTTAATCTTTCTTCGGGAATCTTGCTGCTTAATTGAAAATTTTCTGGCTCTTCGTTTTCACACATTTTTTTTTTTTTTTAAGAAAGTTTTGGAAAGAAAGAGAGAGAGAGAATAATATAAAATAAAACCTGAAATTAAAATAATAAATTATAATTATGAAGAGAAAGAATTTTTTTTAAGAGAATTTTTTACTCACGGATTTTTTTTTTTTTTTTTTTTTTTTTTTTTTTTTAAAGAGAGGTGTTGATAGTAGTTCTCTTACGGCGATACTGATGTTAAAGATAATGACAGTTTACTACCAGGATTTTTTTAAGTTTATAAATTGAATTTATGAAGCCTACCCGGATCTATATTATGTAATTGGATTTAGTTGCGTAGGTTTTTTTTTTGTTATTATTATTGTTATTTACTCTTAAGTTATCAATAAGATTTGTTGGATAATAAATAATAATAATAATTGTTATTATTATTATTGTTATATAATTCGGGAAAAAAATTTTAATATTAAATTTATTTTTTTAAAATAATTATTATAACCCCGAGGAATTTTTTTGTATAGAATTTTGTAAAATTATTTTTACATAGTAAATTTTCGTAATTAAATTTTAATAAAAAAATTTGATATTTAGAAATTTAAAAAAAAATTACAAGTTCAAACTTTTTAAAAATAGTTTTTCTATAATTTATTTTTAATGAAAATAAAAATAAAATTTTTAATGACTGTTGATTTTAGTATTATTGTATGATTTATTAAAATTTATAATAATTTTGTAAAATTATATGAAATAGGGTAAATGCACCAGTTGTTGACCGGTCACCAATTAGTTGACCGATGTATAAAAAAGTTAATTAATTAATATTTTACAAGGGTTTTTTTTCTTAAAGTATTAAAATAAAAATATATAGCATTTAATCATCGTAATAAAAAATTACGCAATTAATTGCGCAGTGATTATAGCTTTAAAAAAATATTTTGAGTTTGTTTACAACGCAACCAGCCATAAAGCGGTCAAAAATCACTAGCGTACAATTGGAGAGTGTGCATTTCATCATTAATTTAGTGATATTTATCGGCATAATATAAAATATTTTAGTTTTATTATGTTAATTAAAGATCAGATTCCAACTTTTTTGAAAAAATAAAGTTAAATTATAAGTTTTAATATTATTTTAAGACCGGTCAACTATTGGATCCGTCAGAAGCCCTTTACCCAGTAAAAAATTCATTCGGTCATTTATTAGACCCTCTGATTTTATCACAATCCAATTAATCACCGTATATTTATAATACTAACTTCTCAACCTTAAAATTAAATCTGTCAAGTGTTTAAAGTACTTTAGTCATTCAATATTTTGTAAATATAAAAATAATCATTATAAAATGTATATTTATAATTAAAATAATACTTAAAATCTTTTTTGATTATTAAATTTTATTTTGTTCTAATTTTTTTAGTGAACGGTTATATCAAAGAATGAATTATTAGAAGAAAAAATTGCTAAGCAATTAAAAAAATAAAAAAGAGTTACAAGCTAGTAAAAAAGCTTTAATTGAAAAAAAGAAGGAGAAGAATAAAAAAATAAAAAATTTCAAGTGTATCACAAAGAATTATTGTCATCAAAATGAATTTGTGATTATTAGTGACCTAAAGAAATGTGACTTTATATGTTAATTATTGCTATTATTTATGTTTAGTTTTGTTAAAGATGTCATTAATACTTCAAAAGTACTGCATAAATTTAATTACATAAATGTAGTTTACAAAATTACTTATAATATAATTATTTGAGCGGTCAATTAATTGGAGAACGATCGGTCATTTATTGGTGGAGAACGGTCGGTTATTTATTGGGTTTCTTCGGTCAATAATTGGTGATTTTAGTATTTTAAGTTTCAAATAACAAAATTAATATAATTTTGTTAATTTTTATTATAAATAGTTATTAATTATTATTAATTAAGTATTTAACTTTAATAAAATCCATTACAAATTGTTTTTAGTAGGTTAATAGATTTTTTATAGCTTAGTACAGAAAAAGAAAACCTTGATCGGTCAATAATTGGTGCATTTACCCTACCAAGACTCAAATTTTATAAGAATTTATAAAAATTTTTTTCAAGAACAGAAGACAATTTTTGTAAAATTTTATGAGAATTTTGTAAAATTAAATGAAATAATAGAGCTCAAATTTTATGAAATTATATTAGGCCATTTTTCAAGTAAAATTTGATGACATTTTTTTTTAAGATCAAAAGACAATTTTATTCAAAATTATGTAAAATTACATGAAATATTAGAATTCAAATTTTATGAAATTATATAAGGCCATTTTTCACATAAAATTTTATAAGAATTTTAAAAATTTCATAAATTTTTTTTTAAGGCCAGAAGACACTTTTTAAAAAATTTTGTAAAATTACATGACACACCAGAGCTCAAATAAAATTTTTTGAAAGGAACAGAGTAAATTTGTCATAAAACTTTGTAAAATTACGTGAATTTTTAAGAAAACAGATTTTTTCTGAACATTGAAAATTTTGAAATTTTATATCTTCATCATTTTTACGTGTACTTTATTATATAATTTTTTTTTGTATACTTTTGCCATTTGGCTGTATTGCCTTGACATTGAAATTAAATAATAAATAAAAATGACCAAGATTAAAATTTAACAAATAAAATTATTATAAAATTTTATCAGACAATTTTTCGCATAAAATTAAATAAAATTTTACAAATTTTTTGGAATAATTCAAGACACTCGTTCTCAATTTATTTAAAAAATTAATTTTGTTATTTAAAAAAAATTTTTTATTAATTAATTAATCAGTCATTTGATGTGTCAATTTAAAAAAAGGATTTTTGTATGGAATATTATGAATACGGTCTGATTTATTAAAATCTATTTTAAAATAACTGCGCTTAAACGATTAATTACAATAAAATTGCATGAAATTTAATAAAAAAATTTTTTTCCCAGAATATATTATCATAAAATAAAGCAACTTTTTTTATGTAGAAAAAAATTAAAATAAAATAAAAAAACAAACTAAAGGATAAAAAAAAGTGTCTGGATATTTACATACCTGATTGTTTTTTATCTAAAATGTCACTAATTAATTTTTGTTGTGTGGGTGATGTTGGCTTTGGTAAATCACGTTTTTCTCCATAGTCTCTCATGTATGTTGTTTTATAAATATCCATTTTACTAATGAAATCGTATTCTAACTCTACAAAGAATCAACGTAACAAAATAATACAAATAAATTATAAATAAAATTAAAAAACATTTTAAATAAATTAGAAAAATATAATATAATAATATAAAATAATCATACCTTTTAATTTTGAATTCGATGGCGTTTTTGGTACTGTTGGTTCAGGTAAAACAATATTTAAAATGCAAATAGGTTGTTGTGCGATTTCACCTTTGGCAACTTTTGGCTCTCGCATAAACATCATGCGCGCAACAGGATCCAAAAGTTGATCCTTAACTTTAACGTGAAATGACAGCCTGTTTTGACGGAATGCTTTGAATGTAAATTTGAGCTGTTGGCCGGATTTTGTTACAGGTACAAGATTACCGCTAAATTCTAAGTACAAATCTTTACCATCCAAGGCCTGAAAAATAATTTTTTTTTTTTAATAATTTTCTTTTATTACAAAATTTAAAAACAATTATTATTTGATAAAATTAATACAAACTTCAACATCGCGACTTTTAACAATTTCCAAAAATTCTTCTTGTTTTTCAAGAGTGTGTAAGCCATCTTTGCCATCAGTCATGCATAATATACGCAGTGTAGCTTCCACGACATCAAATCGTTTTGAATAAATAACGAAACTGTAAAAATAAAAAAACAATTTATTTATTTTATTTTAAAAATAAAAAAAAATTATACTTTTGAACAAATTTATTATCTTTAATTAGTACTAGCAACCATGCAGTCACTAAGTGACTGCCGTGACTTGTGAACTATGAATAGATAAAATTTTGCTTAATTATATAATAACATATTAAATTGCACTGTACTTTCTTAACTATTGATGTTATTTAAAATATAAGCTCATCCTGATGTTACACTCATCAAGAGCTTTCATTTGAGTACCCACATGCATTTTCATATATTTTTCATATATACAGATATATATATATATAATATACATAAATATATGAAAAATTGATGTGGATATTCAAATGAAAGGTCTCGATGAGTGTAACATCAGAATGAGCTTATATCTTTAAAAATGTCGATAGTTCACAAGATACAAGGTAATTTTTTAACTATTGAGATTTTTAAAGATATAAACTCATCTTGATGTTATGCTTATTAAGAGCTTTCATTTGAGTACCCACATCAATTTTCCATATATATTTCATATATTTATGTATATATGAAAAATATATAAAAAATGCATGT